TGTGATTGTTTAATTTTTTTGATTTTAATTATATTTGTGTGTGAGTGAAATAAAAATCGCTCATCTCCTTTATACCCAAATGGTGTTCTAATGAATGAAGGTTTCTAGTAGCTTTAGTAAAAGTAAACAGTAATATCCACAATAATGTGTTCCAAATTCTGGAATTTTGAAATTTAAAATTTTTCTTTTACTTCTTTCCTTTAAAGTGTCTTTCAAATATTGTTGAAGGCCTAATAGTGGATCCAGTACTTCTATTCTAGGACACACGTGTTGATGAAAGTCGAAACGGACAGTGGCACATTTCACTATAGGTGCAGTAAGTACGAAGATGAAATAGATGAATGGTTGAACGCTTACGAATATGAGTTGTTGTGTACTCCGGAAGAAAAACAAAAATATAAGATGAAAAATCTACGGTAGTTGACTTCATGAAAACCATGATGGCAGGTTCATTCTGTTATAAAGTTTGTTGGTTAATTTCAAAAATCCAAGTTCAAGTAGGGTAACTACGGGTATAGAAGGACCGCAGAAGGATTGCAGAAGTGAGTTCATATTTCCATAACGATAAACACATCACAGTGCTGTAATAGAATAGTGACAGTAATACCAGTAGAAGAAAACAGTACCTACGGAGATAACAACCTGATAAGTTCATCTTTCGTAAATTCGTATGTGAAAAAAACTGTCTCAAAAGGGCCAATGATCAAAGGGGAAAGTCATTTCTCTTCTCTCATTATTTCTTTGGCGAAATATTTTGAAAAAAAGCTGAAATGATTTTTGAAATTATTGAGACAACACTACAGCAAGTATTTCGCCAAAACCACAATCAATTAATCTGCCCGTTATCGTATGAGAGAAGAGTTCACAATTTGGAAAACCAACTACCCTCGCTATCATCTAATATCCAGTCAAGGAGGACGTTCCTAATACGGTGCAAGTTCTTCGTTTGTAACAATATGCATTGAAAATACTGTAGATCTCAATTTCGTGAAAAGCAGAAACTATAAATGAGTTTAATCTCAGTGATGGAATTATACTTTCACTCTGAAGGAAAGGAACGTGGCAGAAACACAAGCAGATACAGAAGTTTTCATTTTCCCATCAAGTTACAGGAAATCGGTTGTTCTTTCATATGGCAATTACGCTTGCTCCCATAACAGAAATTGGGTATAAAAATAAGATTACAGATTCAAAAAATGAAATATCCGAGGTCTGTTTTCTTGAAAAATCGTTATAAATCTTTGGTGCAGATCATGCGAGTTATGAAGTGGAATATAGATCAAATCAATGAACGGAATGTGAAGCTTGAAGACTTGGTACAACGAGCAGGTTAGAACGCTCATTATGATTATATCATCAATTTAGATATTCTAAACAGCTCTACAACAGATTTCGAAATCAACACAACACGATGTATCAGTCGTGAGTACCATTGGAATTATTATGCGAAATACTTACTTCTCATGGGAGTGGTTGCAAGCATTGTTGTTGTTAGTTCTATTTCCTTTATCCGCCTCAGATGAGGCTTCTCTACCTTATCAAACTCAATCCTTAGAACTACATAATTTTTAAAAAAATTCAATTATTCACTGCACTCTACTGTTCCATAGTAAACCTGATGATGGTTCAAAAAATTAGAAATATAAGCATTACAGCAAGACTTCTGTACGAATCAAAGATCGAATGAGATAACTTCGTACTACCCTGATTCGAATATGAATAGGAAGTTGGTTCATTTACCGGCTAAACCGTTTATTACATAAAACAAGAAAAACAATTCAAAATCCTTAGAAAACGTGGGTATATGACCAGAGGTTTGATCTTTATTTCGGAAAGTGTGTTTATGAAAATGATAAATAAAAACAGAACAAAGACACTAGTAAGTACAGGTAAAATTTTGAATTTATTCAAATTTAACATTTTACACAAATTTTTTCTCAGAATAGATAAGAGTTTCAATCGAAATCCTTATCTTCGAGGAAACGGTATTCAAAAGTGAAAGCTTCTTTCTTTCTTTGCGACCATCGCTCGAAATCAAAGTATACGTATGTACCCTAAAAAATCGTATCATCACATGCTCTTAGTTTACAATTTACCTGTTCAAAGTCGTCAGTTATCTGCTTAGGTTCCTCATGTCGCTGGAACCAAGTTAAATACTTCGTATGGAATCGCCAGGATAGTTTCTTCAAGGCTTTAGCTGCTAGCAATTGGGCTTTCGTTCCCTGAGTATGATCATATAAAACCGTCTCTAGTGCACAGTCAACTCACCTCCATATAATAAAATATGAAAAAGAGGGTCTCCGGACTAAGACGAAGATAATACTCTAGAGTGTCGCTGTTTGGTGGTGGGTTCTGTGGATACAAAGTGTTCCCGGGGTAAAGAATCTTGGGAAGGTAGGTTCTAGGCTTTTCACTATCCATAGGTAACGGTGCTCGTTGGAAGGCAGCTTCCAAAGCTGCTAAGTGAATATCATGCTCTTGAGTAGCTGGTGCTCGACCGAGTGGTGAAGCTCCTAACCAAGCAGGTATGTGAGCCTTTAAATATATTAATCACTCTCTGATAATAGAGTTAATCTTACTCGTTTGGGATCTTTACTTGTGGGTGGTTGACGTAAAACACCTCGTAGAGTATCTTCTCCGACGTTCTCCCCTTTCACTTCTCGGTTATCAGAGGCGTTTGTCAACGGAGACTCTCCAGGCTGAAACAAAAAACAATTAGAGATAATAGGCGGAGTAGTGAGATAGTTACTTCTGTTGAAGAAGAACTTGAATTCGCTAAAGATGGCCCGTTCATCACCTTTACTGGCGTTCTTATCTATAAGAAAGTCATAATTAGAGAGCGGAGAGAGTGCTACATCACAAAGGAACTCTCTTTAAAGAAAGTAATAAGCATTCTAATGAGAAATAAACACTGACTAAAGGCTCTAAGCACTACTATCTACTACACACTCGGTACAGAACACTATTGCTAGCCTAAGCTACTAAACACGCCATATAGGGCACCTCAGTTTTCCCATTGGTATGTGATACTTCAGAAGATTCAGAATTTGAAGCAGACGATTTCATACTTTCAGATTTCGCGACAACTTCCGCAACAGTCTTTGGGTTTGAAACCTAAACAATTACTCCCGTATAAGTACAATATTACCCAGGGTCAATACGAAGTTATGGAAACAGTTTGAAAATATCATTTGAAATACTAACCTCGTTCACAGGATTCCTGTTCTCATCGTTCGATGTTGAGCTATTCGCTGAGCTTTGAGAAGCAGCGGCAGCAGCAGCAGCGGCCGCAGCCTGAGCAGCTGATGTTGGTTGCCTGCTAAAAATAAGGGAGTTCATATGGACCATTCATGATTAATCAATCCGAATAAGGAAAGTAACGTACGCGACGGCAGGAATGGGGAATGATGCTTTTCCAGCTGATACCGTTGAAGATGGTGGAGTTGCAGCGGCAGGAGCAGCTCTTCCAGCAGCAACGCTGTTGTAGGGTATCCCCGGAGGAGGTGGAGGGGGTGTTGCTGGTGTAACTGCTGAAAGTCCAGGTGTTTCCGTAGATGTTTCTCTGTAAAAAAAAGGTTATAATAGATTGTCACTCAAGATACTAACCTGGGTAACTTTGACGGTGTCGCGATGGGTGCAGGAAGGGTTGCAACAACAGCTCGTCGAGGTGCCGGACTAGCCGGAGAAGGTGTTGTTAAAATTGGAGCATCTGTACTTCCATGCCTCGAACTCACTTTTTCTTCGCCCTCGTTGTACACAGAAGGTTCAGCTGAACAACACATGATATACTTTTCAAAAGTAACAAGCATACCGTCGGTTTTTTCATCATCCAAACCATGTATACACAGATTGGTTCCGAGTTGAGCACTCAATAAACCGAGATTTAATTCTTCGTAAGCTTCTACAACAATAATCGATGACAAAACGTATACAAAAACGTTCAAACCTTCAGGATCTAAGTTTTCCAGCTCATCCTCTGCTCTATCATAGTCAGGATCTAACACATCAATGTACATTTCAAGAGGATCTTTAAGCACTTCCATGACACGTTTTGATTCTAAGCTTTCATTGTTAACCATTCGCATACAAATCTAGATCAGTATAGGTTAGAACAGACATGATAATATCCAAACCTCTAATTTCTCGATGTGGAACTTCATTCTTTCTAAATGCTTTCTCAATTCATCTAATTTCTTCTGAATAAGAATCAGTACTGAATGAAAGCTAGAAAAACACAAACCTGGGATTCTTTTCCTTTATCTTTGTTTTTCCGTTTCCCTCCTTCTCCTGAAGATATTGATTCGAGGTGAGACTCTGTTCTGTCTGATTCATCTGACAATTCTCTAATTTGATTCTGAAACGTGAAGTTAAAGTCTTTCTAAGAAGTTTTATGATCACCTGGAGCCATTCAATCGTGTCCGACTTCTCCTTTTCTTTGGGATCGAGTTTTTCCTCAGCGCTTAAGCCCTATGAGTACGAATTGATAAGCACATAACAAGAACAAAATAAAATTACCTGCTTACTGTGAGGTTTTGTCTTATTCTCTCTTTCGATGTCTTTGAACTGTTCCATCCGCTGCTCGATGGTTTTACGATACTGATTCAAACGCTCTTTGTCCTAAGAAGACTTTCGAAAAATCAAAACGGACATGAATGAAAACCTTTATATCAGAAGAGTTTTGCCAGTTCTTAACTTGGTCTCGTAACCTTTGAAGCTTCTTAATTTCTTTTTTCAAATCGTCCTAAAGATAAGTAATAGGGGCATGACGGAAAAAAGCTATAGTACCTGATATTTCTCTCTTTGATTATCACTGTTAGCTTCATGCATTTTGCCCATCGTCTCCTCAAACAGTTCCACTCCTTCATCAATCTACAATAAATACAAAAAACTAATAGATTTATAACTCTCATAATCTTACCTTCTTAAAACATTTTTCTATTTCAGCGAGGAGCTTGCGCTTCTCCGCCATCTCAAACCCTCTTCGATGTTCTTAAAAGGTAAACTTTCAGAATGATACAGCATGCACGATGGCACAGAACAACTATCGTATCTGGAATTATTGTTTTTGATAAAATTGAAAGAAAAGAAAACATTCCACTAACCGTATATGCAATCCCTATCTTGAACTAAGAAGATGAAGGATACGAATTAAGCACGACTCTCTTATTAGATAGTTTTTATTAACAGACTGAAATGTAAAATCAGAAGAAGCGAAACAGCTCTCTTTTGAAGATGGAAATACGCAAGCAGTTCATAAACAAACAAGGGAGTTAGATCAGGATCATAGCCTTAAAAATGATGAGAAACAACACTGTACGCAAAATATGGGTTCTGTACACTTGTTCGACTTTTCTTCAATCGATATTGCCAAAATAATAAATAATACTTAATAAAACTGGGGACTTTGTTATCGGCATAGTCGATAATGCGCCATGTGCCAGAATTGATTTTCGCTGCGTACATCTTCGCGTAGTATACGTAGGATCGGCAGCCAAGAGAGCGCCATGCTTGGCTGTTTTGAAACTCAATATACTTAATATAGACTTATGTTAATTTCTTGTTATTAATAAAGCAAACAGAGTTTACAGTCGTCAAATAGAATGTTTGGATTATGCAGTAATACAGCTTTTGGGTACGTTTTTAAAATTTAAAACATTCAACAAAATGTAAAAAGTTTGTTGAAATAAATTCGTGAATTACTTGTCTAGACACGTATACTTGAAACAAATTTTTTGATTTAACCTAGTTTCTCAATATTTTTCGTTTTGTTTTCCAATCATGACTTTGGCTCCTCTTGTTTACATTGTTTATTTGAGTAGGAACATCATGAAAATTGTTTTTGAAACTTCTAAAATCAAAAAAACTTTTTATTAAAAAATAAAGTTGGGAGCGAGAAAATTGTATTGTATGTAATGTATTGCAAGGAAAGAATGAATGAATGAAAAGATGATTGTATGAAAAATGAATTGAAGCATAGGATAAGCAACCGATTCTCACGTCTGGAATTGTAAGAAATGAAAGATGGCGCCCAGCACAAGATATATTCAAATGAGGCTACTGTAGTAGACGCGCATAGTAATTGCTATGCTAATTAAGCAAATGAATGTCATAAACAAAATTTTTATTAGAGATTATAATGTTTATCCAAAATACTAATGACTAGCTGGCGTTAAATTTATATCAAACTGAAATGCAGTTCGAATAAGCTTTCAAACATGACGAACGTAACGACACAATAGATTCCATCTTGGCGTGGAAAACTAAAGTAAAACAACTTAATTAGAGAAATGATATATGTATATATATATATATATATAGTCCAGTAATTAACTAAACTTCTATTTGCAACCAGATATTTGTTGAGAAATTAAAACTTTTGTTTTAAGTTATACATAATGAGGTGGAAAAAACCCGTGGAGAAAAGGAAAATAAAACGATTCACGCGGGAAGTACAATGACTTGTCTTACAGTAAATATTACTTTAGAAGTACAAAGATGAATTATAATTTGAGTGTTACCAGATTAAAATATAAGAAATATTATTATTTTGAGAAATAAGTAGAACGTTAATGATGAAGGATGTTCGTACGGACATTATTCGGAACTGAACACCGCATTCGTTCATTCCCTTAAACGGCTCTAGGCTCGTTTTCGTTGTTCAGAGAGTTTTGAGATGGGGAGTTGGCGAGAGCATCTTCAATCATTGAAGCTGGTATTCCAGTTCCTGTTTTGCTCTGTAAATTTAATAGATTAAAAGAATAAAAATGAAAAGAATCTTACCCCATCTTTTGGAGTTGGAAGAGAAATCCACTCTAATTTACCACTTTTATAGTCATTCACGAACTCTTCAATAACCTTAACCGACGAATCAAATTACAGCTATGAAAGAATCAATCTAACCTCATCCGAAACATCTGGTTTATCACAAATGGACATTTGGCCGGCTAAGCTATCAATAATACAAATAAGAGGCAATTCGGAATCACCTAATCCTAGGATTTTCTCCAATATCTGGAAATTCATCAATAAAAAGGTTTGTGAACAAAGAACCTACATGATCACAAATAGGATCCTCTCCTGTGTAAAATATCTGTAGAGGATCAGCTTGAGGAGGTATCGGGACTTCAGAAGTTGTTGACCTGGAAGAGGTTTTAAAAATGAATCATATTCTCAGAATCTTCTCATACGCGCATTCCTCACTACTGGAAGATTTACTGATTGAGTTTCCATTCTCAGAATTTTCCCTATCTTCTAACTTCTTCTCGCGGTCTTCCCGTCTCTGTTCTTCAATCTTCTGTCTTTCATCGAAAAGTTTCTTGGAGATGCCGTCCAACACAGACAAAGAAAATCCAATATCTTCTGGAGAACCCTCTGAAAAATCCGTTTTGGAATCAGATATTTGATTATTCTAACCTGTGAAAAGAACCATAGATGGTTCATCACGTAGGCGACACACAGAGAACTCATCCAGCTCATACAAAGGACAAGGTCCCCATGGAAATTGTTTTCCTAGGCTGTCAGCGAGAAGAGTGGACCTTCCATGTCTTGAGATTATTTGATTGTTAGAGTCAACAAGAATCAATGACGGAATTCCTGTAATTCAGCCAAATCAATCATGGAGTGGAAGAGAAAACAACTAACCGTTTACATTGAAAAAGCGTGTAAGCCCCATAGTTTTAGCAGTATCATAACTGAACGCATACCAAGGCATCTGAAGTTAACATTGAGAAAAGCAGTAGAAGTATATCTCACTTGATTAAGAAATTGATTGAAGAAATCGAGCGATCGGTCAGATGAGCAGAATATGATTTCAATAGAAATATTGGCTTCTTTAAGAGCATCATATACAGGTTTCAGCTGTTTAACCCATTGTCGACAAGTGGGGAACTTGAATGATTAGTTTAAACGTATGAAAATACTATCAAAAGAATACCCAATAAGCACCAAAGAAGAATCCTCGTATGGCAGTTTTAATTTCAGAATAATCAGAGGTCTCAACTTTTCCATTAACGCTTCTCACGACCTGTCCTTTCATTAAATCGGAAACTGCAGGAGGCCACCTGTAAAACCGGAAAATAATACTCTCATGAAAGAAAAAATAATAACCATGGGAAGTTAGCTCCATTTGGATCATCAACAAGAAGACGTCTACCTTCTGTTGTGATGACAGCATGAGTATTACAATCCACTACTATAATAGAAGGGGGGAATTCAAAACCCAGAGCTCTGAGCAATCGGCTCTGAAAAACAAATTATTAATAAATAAAAACAGACTGATAACATACTTTACTAGCTGGAGACTGTGGTACATAAATATACCAACCAGGATAGGCGACCTTGAGAGGAGCATCATCATTTCTGAAACCAGAAAACTAATTGGGACATAGACAACTGTGTACCTCTGGTCAGTGTCGAGATACACAATTGACATGAAATTTGTTTCATCCACAATAATTTCCTTCTTCTTCTTCTTTTTCAGACTGAACAATCTTCGGATGCGAGCAGGAGAGCTTAAAAAGAATTTAAACATAAGCTTTTTCTTTATTTTTTTTCGTATTTTCATTCTCAGAGCTGTTGGTTTGTTAAACTTTTTTGGACATTCCTATTGTGTCTATCTATATCGGGCAAGATGAAAACTGACAAAGTTTTAAGTCTCAGAAAATAAAGCAAAGAGAATCGCTATCTACGAGCAACATCGGCCACGTGTCATCCGTCATCTGTCGGCGGTCACTTTGTGTTCTTCACTCAGTATCATTAGAATGAAGAAGACAACGGCGACAACGTCAACGATGAAGCGAGAGCGGGAGAAGATGAGTCTAGAAGATGAAGTGGTTTCCATCACTATGCCAAGTAAAAGCAACTCAGAGAAGATTATCTCTAGTCCAGCTTTGCTTCAAGAAGAAATCTTTACCTTACTTGAGTGTAAAGACATTTGATTTATATCAGCATCATCAAATTGCTTTCTAGAATCTTGTAATCATTTCTGAACATAACTCACAAAGCATATGTCGACTACATTTCTCTGATTTGTCCAAAAAGTTTCGTAAACCCCTTGTTATCACTGGAGAAAGATGGTTGTTGTTCTATAGGATCATTAAAAAGCTCTAAAATTCAGAAAACTGAGAACTCAATGAAATTTTGATCGAGTAATCAAAAGATTTTAAACTGAATCCTCGTCAAATCAGAAAAATGTTTCCTCCACTGATCAACCGTTTCTATGCGTCTGCTTTTCAACAGAGAAATGAACTACGGGTGTTCATGAAAATATGCTCAATATCCTCTCGTTTACCCAATCAAACTAAATCGCCAAACGCATAACTCCGAATATCTTTGAAATATGGTGAACGCTGAATTTTGATTCTATTACAGCAATTTGCTGATTGAATACATCCAGCTGTGTTCGAAGCTAGAATCAGCAATATCGTCATTTCATGTTACTCTATGTCGAAAAACTCCCAACTCCTTGTTTCTCTCAGATCTATCACAACATGAGGGCGCCTTTCTCTTACAAACTGAGACACTAGACATGAGACCGGTGGTCCTATTCACTAAAAGCGTCCCGCTGTTTCTTTGGAATTATACCGAAAATGTGATGGTCATCTTCTTCAAAGAAACAATATTGCAAGCCAACTTTCAGTGAAAAAAACTGTTTCAGTCTTAGGCAGTGGGTACTTGAGAAATATAAAAATCGATCAATTTGAAATCGAGATTCAGATATACGCTGCATGGTTTATGTGAGGAGTCAATAAGGGGCATAGTATAATATTTCATCATAAACCAATATAAAACCTTTAGAAGACAGCTAGATTACCGTCGGAACAACTGTTCTAGCGGTATCTTTTAAGCAATATGCAAGCTGTCATGTCGTACGAATATTAGTATGAAACTAGAAAGGTAAACGAACTGAGAAAATGAGAAATTCATGGGGTTCGAAAGGAGTCTTAAACTGTAAAGAACTTACTTTTGAGGTTTCTCTCTGTCACGTTCGTTGCGTTTTTTAGCCAAACTGTTAAGACGAGCAGCAACATCGGTTCCCCGACTTGACGAAGCAAGAAGGAAAACAACATACTGACTCGAGCTCATTGCTGTTTCGAGTGTTGAAATCTGTCCCGGTTGATCTTTTGCCTGAATAAATGAGTTCGAATGAGTTATGATTGAAACACTTACTGAATCCGATGAACATTTCACTAATGATATATTACGAAAGCAGCTTTCGTACAGTTCTTCGAATGACATCACTGAAAACAATTTTTTTGGAGGATAATTAGAGACTCTATTATAAAGAAAAAACGTTCGACAGCACGCCGATTGGAAGACGAATTCATAAAAGGAAATGTGTAAAACATCTGTTTAGGGCATGGTTTTATTGATTTCTCCGTTTGACCCAACGAAATCTGGGAAGTCATCCTTTATTAGTACAATCTACGTCAAGCAGTCATGAGGAATCCAAGGAATAAAAAGAACGGTTGATGAAAAGAAATGTAATTGCTAACGCTAAATCGACAAAAAAGGTAATAACCGGAGCCACAAAGCATGAGCATTGTGTTAGATGAGGTCAGAATGAATAGCCACTGGATTGTCCTGTCGGAAAAAAGAAAAGAACTTCCAACAGTAGGCGGGGCTTAATGTAGTGGAAGAGAAATGGAAGATGAAGTGTTGCGGATCAAGAGAAGAAGATAGAGGGAAAGAATAGAAGAAGTAAAGATGTTCAGAGAATCTAGGTAATGAATGAAACAAGGTGTAGAGGCTCTTGAGATAAAGCGAAACTTTGTAAATACTGCTAGCAGGTAGGAGTTAGAAATGAGCAACTGTAGCTAACAAGCTTATGAAATCTTCAATGAAATAGAAATCACTGTTGGGAAAGATATAGTGGCTAGAACAGCATATTTTACTGCCATTATGAAACTATAATTCAAGTCAAGAGCATCACCACTGCATACTCTCTGCATATGCTGTTCGAAAGACAGACAGGAGACAATAGACTTGTCTAACTTTCGTAGTAGAGCAAGTCATTACCCAAAGTTTATCTTAGATAATCTACTTGAAAAAGTAAAGAAAAACATGTCACCATGTCAAGAGTCATCAGATAGCTTGTAGTACACGATCTGGTGCAAATGACAGCAGTACAGTACTTCAAAAAAAGGTTTGCCAAGCAGTAGTTGTTAACAGATGTCACGATTTATAATTTGTAATCTGATTATGAGAAGAGCACTGGCCGATTGAATCAGTAACAATGAAAAGCAATTGAAGAAAAAATGTTTCAAATGACAAACAATCTGAAGGACACAACGATGTCTCGAGATTGAACATATTTGACAGAGAACTACATAGATCATACAATGAAAATTCAAACATGGATATGATGGGATATAAGTGTTTACATTAACAGCCTCCTGCATTAGATATTCGGAAGATACGGAGCATCTGATGGGAATCTAGCTCTAGATCCGTGTAGAAATGATAAGGATTATGAACTATTTATCAGAAACAGTAAAAAAAAAAGTAAATGAGGTTGAGTAGTACGAGACAGCTCAGACATCCTCTACATATGTTTCAACACTCACATTCTATTAAAAATTTCAATAAAAAATGAGTAGCAGATTAAGCTCTTTCAAAAACATAAAACAAGAGGAATGTAATCGAAGACACCAGATGATCTATTCAATACACATGGAAATTTCAGCTTATTCACATATTGATCAAAACATTCAAATAATTAGGCGGGACTTGACGAAATTCAAAACTTCTCCCACCACAATAATCTATTTGTTAACCAAACACATCATTTACTGACAAAACTTTATCAGTGATAACAGAAGATAAGAAAAGAGAGGAGCAGAATGAACTAGTAGTTATTTTCAAATAAATAAACAAAATGAATTGAGACAGAGAATGAAAGATGAATGCGTGAAGGTCATGAAAAAAAATTAAAAAACAATTGAGTCAAAGTCAACCGCTCAATGCGTACATACCACGTAAAAATGACGCCAGATTAGATGTGATATGTGCATTTGTATTCAAATCCACACATATGCTAATGAGTTGTAGTTTAGCGTTTCAAAGATTAATTTATAAATAACATAATTGAAATGTGATAAATAGAACTATTCTTTGCCATCAAGCGAAACTTGAAGAAGAGCAAAAGTCATGATCTGGTGGTACAAATGAAGCAAATTCAAATTTGAACATGATGTTCAAACACGAACAAATTGTTGCTAAAGAAATGATAGAATCAAATGGTCAGTCAGTGGCAAAGAAATGGTCATTATGCAGATGTGCAGTGAATCAAAAGAGCATTTCTAGAGCAGAGCCTCAAGGGAGAAATCAAGAAGCAGTGAAGAAGCATTAGGATATAGAAGAGACAAAACATTTCAAATGAATAAGCTGAAGGGACATAGGATAATATCATAAAATTTGAAGATCAATTGAAACGTTAAAGATGAATGAGAAAACCGTTTGGAGATAGCAAAAACGGAAATTCGAAAATCTAGTAGAAAACAGTCAAATATAACAACAACATCAGATGTAATGGAGTCAACTGTCTCGTGTCTCTGTGATCGTTCGTTGTGATCAGAGCTGAAATATGTTGTTATTGCTAAGAACTAATTGGAGTTGGTGGAGAATCAAAAGGTTGGATAGAAATTCTGTCATTAATACGATATAGTGCATTAAAAATAATTTGAAAAAGCTGTAATTCAATGACTGAGAAAAGCAATGAGTTTAGCGTCAATTTGCATATTCCAGTCTTCCGAAGTAGAATTTGAAAATAAAAAACAAAATCAAAGAAATAGCTTGATGTCCATGTGACTCTGACAGATATTTTCTATCATAACGTTCATTCAATGAACTGAAATGAGGAATAACGAAATAACCAATGAAAAATTTTCCAGAGAGGGAGACAGACAGAGGGAACAGGTTCACTATAATTTTTGGCGGGAAAGCCTTAAAATGAATGGTCAAAAGGTCTGTAGACGTCGTCAAGGGTTGAATGACAGGGATCATCAAATAGCTTGGCCGTCTTCTACAGCTGGCACTGTTTTAACGGATTCTCTGTCTCTCTCTCTCCAGTTTTCTCTCTTTAATTCACTTTTTGCCTCTTTCATCTGTTTCTTTCGCTCTCATGGGTTCGTGTGTTATTTAACCTTTTTGTCTCAATGACCTCTGTGAATTGAATCATGGCAAAGATGAGGCACAAATCGATCAATATGAAATGATGTATAAATATGGAAATTGCTGAGAAGCCTGAATAAAGTGGTGGTTAATGTAAGTTCTGATAGATTTCCGGCACAAATAATTTGTCTTTCAACTTCCTCTGGAAGATGAGTTGGAGAAGGAAATGACTCTAATGTAAGGACGGATTTGATGCAATTGACGGCCTTTTTGTTTCAAAAAAAAAAAAAAACTTTTTTCCCTCGCAGTCTCACTTTCACTCTCTCTATCTATCTATCTCCCTCCCTCTCTATCTCCTTCTCTTTCTCTCGGAACCGATATGGCAGTATTTCCTTTCTTGGAACTTAGAGCTCTATCTCTCTCTCTCTCTCTATTTCGTATCTCATCTGAGACTTATAATAATTCGAATAAGCTGAAGCATTAGTAGTTTAAGCTCTAAAAGATCCCATATAAAGGATTGGAATAATTAAAATAATTTTTGTTTGTTTGTCGACGGATTGAAGAATATTTCATTTTCTGTGACTTTTTTAATTGAAGATTCTTCTAATATTCTGAATGAGAATTATAAATTGAGAAAAGATTTCGCTATATTCATTCACACAATTCATTGTATTTCATATTGAAAGATCTCGGAAGAGATTCATCCGAAGAAATTTTTTTTCTCCGTTTTCTCAAATCTTTTTTATATCAAAAAATGTCAATTTGGCCTCATCTTTTTACAAATTTTGTTTGCCTTCAAACTCTGCTCTTCAATGAAATTATTGAAAACTCAAATACAAAATACTAAAAACTGGATTGATTACATACCAAGTATGGACATTTAAGTTTTTTTTCTTCTTCCTCTCCTTCTCCTTCCCTTTCGTCTCCCCTTACTACTTCTTCCTATGGTGAGAAGAAGAAGACGATGAAGATGAGGAAAAAAACGACAACGACCTCTTCTCATTTACCATATTACGGAGGTTGTGCAGAGTTGAAATTAAAGAAAATCTCAGAATGAATCAACAAATTACAAGACGACTTGAAAGGCAATGCCTTTCTATGCCTTTTCTCATGCTTTCTCTTCCTCTCTCTCTATCATTTGCATTGTTTCCCTCTTATGGAGCCAAAGATATCTTTTTCTCTTCTTATAGAGCATTTCTCTTATACTTCTTCTATACCTCTTTTCATTTCTCTCTACCACTCTCTCTATCCCTCTTTTAGCAAAGGCTAAATCGAGAGTAGAGTATGTGACTAGTCAGAGAAAATGGGTGGAGGGAGTTGCTCGAACAGAGAGTTAATTACATTCTCAACACGTGATATCCCTTTCCTGGCTTTTCCACTCTTAGTCTCTTTATTTTCATTAGTATTTTCCTCATTTCTTTTTTCATCTTTCTTTTGATTCTCCATCGCTTTTTCTCTATTTTCCTCTTCATTTTGTCTTCTTTTCTGCCCGTATACATAGCTCGATTAGCTTCTGCCCCATGAAAAGAAAGGAATCTGTTATCCATGGTATTGAAGTTCGGCTTTCGTCAATTCTAGTTCAACATCACTTGTCAGGCCGACTTCTTCTTCTTCTTCCTTTCCTTCTGCTAGCTCTCGTTAGAGCATACGTTTCTTATCAGAGCACTCATTTAATAGCCATTCAACAGTGTCAATGAGAACTAGCTTGTTACTCATTCCTTCTCATCTTTGATTTCTTTAACAAGTTCACTATCATCTTTTCCTTTCATCTTTAAGCATCTTGCGTCGTTCATTTCTTTTTATTCATTTTTTGAACTCGAAACTCGCATCTCAGAGCAGAAGCATCTCTTTCGGCTGTCCTTTTGTGTCTCTAAATGGCCTATCGCGTCATGCATCTCCATTTTTTACTTTCACATATTTCAATTTTTCGATTTCATTCACTCCACCTCATATATAACCCCTTTTTCGATACTTTATCAGAAGAATTGAGTTTCAATTCAGAAACAGAAATTGGATTTTTATCATAAAGACGAAAAATAAAACAATTTTAATTCATCGCAACCAAGTGTAGTTTGGGGCAATGAGCCCGCTTTGCCTTTCTCCTTTTCGCTCTCATTAGTTTCGTTTTGTCTCTCTCTCTATCTCTCTCTCTCCCTCCCACCCCTCTCTCTTTCATGTTTCTAGTCATTTCTACTTTTCTTCTCTCATTTCCTCTTATTAATATTTCGGTAACTCATTTCATCAGCCTTTCATTCCCATTCACCGGCCTTTATCTTCCGTTTTTCACAAACTTCCTTGACTTTTTGCAAGTGCACGTTGTTGCCTTCAAACTTTCTTCGCCTTCGTTTCTTTTCTTCGTGTTCCCCTTCCCTTTCCTGTAAATAACCTCTGACCAGCTTTTTACAATTATATTTTCGCCATACGCTTTTTATTAATAATAATAATAGTTTGAATACTACGTGAACTTTCACGTGAACTCATTTTGAACCTTCTAAAGTATTCTATACAACTTGACGTGTCAACGCTTCTATGCACCCATGTAGTTTTCTTTTTTTTCTCTCTCTCTCTCTTTAAAGTTTTTTTTGTTTACTTTCACATGCGATAATCAAATTTCCTTTGATTTTTATATTATTTTCATTCAAATTCATGTTCTATCTATCTCTATCTCTAGGAAATAGAAGTTGTATACGACGACATCTATTGTACTTAAAAATACACAAAAATGGAAGAAGCTGTCATCATGACACACGTGTATCTCATTCTCATTCTCATTCTCTTCCTCCCTCCCTCCCTCTCTCTCTTGCTCCACAAAATCGATTTTTGACGTCAACCATTTGCTTTTATCTGAAAAAAAAAATTTACATATAATTATTCATTTCAATAAAAATTATTTTTATTTTATTTAGAAAAAAAATATTTATAATTGACGAGAGTGCAGGGCATGCTCTTTCCATGCTCCCTCCGTCTGCTATCATCGCAGTCTCCTTCTTCCTCTCAACTTCCCTTCTCCTCTTCTCTCTCTCTCTGTCTTTATCTCGCTATATTCACAGCCTCCTCTAAGATTCAAAAATATCATTGAATAATTTGGTTCTCAAATTTGAATATAAGCCTTTCTATGGCAAAACAAAGAATTTATTCAAATTTTGAATTAAAATTCTAATAAAATGTTCCAGTGATTCCCTGAAAGCGATGAGATTTATTCTTCTCTCTCTTGCTCAACACCAAATAAGATCCTTTTAAGAGCAAAAATCCATTTTTCTCATCCTCTCTCTCTCTTTCTCCCTCTCTATCTTTCTCTTCTTCTCCCTCTCTTTTATTCTCTCTTAATAAACGACAAATAAAGAAGAAATGTAATCAAGGAGATTTACCATCAAAGCGAAGTCATATCAAGATTTCTCCTTCAGGTCTTTGATCTTCCAGCTTCCGGTTAAGACTCAATGCTACTAATTCTGCTGTTTTCCACTCCTTTCCATATTCGATCTATTGCCATATATGAAAGGGGAGATAGAGAGAAAGAGGCAAAGAGACAGATAGAGAGAGAGAAAGAGAAAAGCTTTTTCTTTCTTTCTCTTACTTTGAGTGAAAAGTGATCATAAACACGCAGATAGAATAGAAAATAGTCTTTACACTAACTTCTCTCTTTCTTCCCATTTTGCTCTCCTTTACCCTTTTAACCTTTCAATACTTTTCCAGGCTTCTCCATTGCCCTCTGCCGCATTCGCATACTTCTCTATTCCCTATTGTTTTTATATATATCTAATTCTTTTTAATTCTTTCCTTACTTATGTTCTTCTTTCTTCTTCAACGACTTTCAAAGTTTGTCCCAATCTGTCACATCATCCGTAGTCTTCTGATTGTTAGTTGTCATTGGTCTTAAGTTCCATCTATCCGCACGATGTTCGAACAAAAATTCTGATGTCCAAAGTCAGTTAGTCGGACAAAAAAAGGACAAAAGCATGAAAACGAAGAAGAAATGAAGGAAATAAGGATAGAGAGAGAGGGAAAAAAGGAAGTAAGGGAAAAAAGCGTATAAGAGAGCAAAAAGAGAATTGTTAGAGAATGAGAGTAAAATTCCAAAGACTTCACATATTCTTGTAATCTATCAATGACGCCGTCATTTTCGTTATTCCATTTCAACGCCATATGTATCCATCTCATCTTTATAATTAAAACATTCGGCTGTTTATTTTTTCATATAAATTATATCTTCCTCTATTGGATATGCCATTAGATGGCATGCTTAAATGACCTGAACTTGTTAACAATTCCCTTAGGGCAATTGAGCTGAAAAGAACTACGGGCATCTAAAGTTCTTCAGTCCTTCTTCGCAACTGATGATCGTTCGTCTCATCTTATTTCAGTTTTTTTTAAAACTTTTTCAAGAGGTTCTTCGTTTTCCATTAAATAGTTTGATGCTAATTTATGAAATTAGTTTCTTCAAGCATTTCTCAAGTGTTGCTGAGTTCAATGTACTGAACACTAAGCTCATTTGCATATTCCACTAGTATCCTTTCCACGTACAAATGTGAAAATATCATTTAAGGCTTAAAAAACGTTATGAACGGTTGTATCATGTCTTCGTTCCATATGTGCTTACTTGTTAGGCCCACGTATCTTTTTCACTCTCTATTGCTTACTCTCGACCTCCTTTCTCTCTGTCCCCCCCCCCCTCTCTAGCTCTTGTTTCTTTACCTCTTTTCGCTTTATCTGTTTGATATATTTCCTCTTCGGTTTTTTTCTTCCTCTAAAATGTATTGAAAATCTCAAGAGGTCGATGGGAGTGAATGGCATAAAAATGTCAAAAAAAGTGAGGAAGGTGGATGGAAATCATATGATTGAGAAATATAAAAAGGGAAAAAGGATTTAAAAGTAATAGAGAGAGAGAAGGTGAGAGAGAGATATAGAGAGAGAGAAAGAGATAGAGGGGGGAGAGGTGGGGTGGAGGGAACCTTCGTCAGAATATGTTGTCTCAACCAATATCAAAGCACCTGCACTCTATTTCATTACCGATTCCAATCAACTTTTGTTAAAATAAATTTTCTAATCTTTTCATTTCATCTGTTTATTTTGTTATTTCTTTTTCACTGTCCTCATATTCATATAATATCTAAATAAGCTTATATATGGCAATGCTCTTTTTTCTCGCAATTCGAAGTATCATGTTATCCACCATGACGTCAGAATTTAAGCTTAAGCTGAGTATGAAGATACAAAGCGCCTCAGGCATTATCTGTGTCTATTTCTTATACACTTTCTCTTTTCTGATTTTCAAGATAATTTGAAGCTTCGCATCTGAGAGCATCTCATCCAACTTCTATTTTCAGTTAAAAAAATAAAAAATAAATGTAAAGTTTTTGTATTATTTCATCTTTTTGGATTATTGCCTAACATTTCGTTTTCACGGCTTATCCGTTCTTCATTGTTCGCTTCAAAGTTTATTTTCTTTCTCTTCATGTCACTATATCTGTCTCTCTCTCTCTATTTGTGTGATTCTGCATCTCCTTCTACAGCTTCTACATATTCTGATATCATCTCATTCCCATTGTATCACTTGAAAAATGCTATTTGTTTCAATTGAATATGGAAAAAGGTACACGCACACTCATTCATTGCTTATTATGCTTATTACTTCCATGCCCTTATATACATTGGTCCACTTCAAAATTCTTTTTTTTTCTTCCCTCCGATCACGTAGTATTTATGAGAAATAAACAAAACAAGTCTTCCTCATTCGCACAATAGCATCATCTTCATACTTTCGTTTCGATATGATCATGTTGGAGCTTCTGTTTCTCTCTTTTTCATTTCCCCCGCCATCATTCATCTTCATTTTTGCACGTATAATATTAAATTTTTTTTTTATCTTATGAAAAAGTGATTACCGTATAGCTTCATATATCTAGATAACTATATAATCATTTGTATAAGTTTATATAATTTCAGGAAATGGCTCCATCTGGTGGGAGCTCCGTCTACAGATCTCCGCCAACATTACGAGCTGGAGCTTCATTTCCTCTTTTACGTATTATATATCAGATTATTGGACTATTTGTTACATTTGTTGTAACTTTAATTATATTTTTTATCAGTCCTGTCTTTCTAATTGCTCGCATAGCTTGTTTTTGTAAAAAAAAATCGCGAAGACATTCAATTGATGAGCCCATAAGGTATGAATTATAAAAATATTTTTATATATCAACATATAATTATAATAATATAAATAACAAAGTGGTTCTATCAATCACATCTCTCTCTCTAGCTCTCTCTTCTGCAGTAAAAAAATATCAAAAAAAAAGAAAAAATATAAAAGAAATAACTTCCTCTCATAGTTAAGATTATTGTGTTTCAGTTCATGTTGTTCAAATCATCCCATTACGGGTCATGGGCCGAATATTGGCATCGTCATTATCAATGATAGCGAAATCAATCCGATGTTCTGTAATAGCCTGGTAAGAGCCAATATCCATTCACATAGTTAACTACTTTAAAACCAATTTAAGTTCAAAAATATTCCATTCGTTAAAGCTGGTCCGAATAATCGTCCATCAGCTACAGAGCCATACACATCGTTATGTCGTCAATGGGATGGGTAATCTTTTTTTTTTCTCTTCTCACCCTCTCTCTCATTCTCTCTCTGTACTTTTCCAAATTTTCTCTTTCTAATTTCATTTTTGAAATAATTTTTTTGTTTTATGAGCAAAGAGGTAATCGATGAGCTTCCAACGTTTCTGTTTTTACGAACTTTTGAAATATATATCTCTAATTAGCATATTAGCAATTTATGCTAATTAAATGAATATGCTGACGTCATTCACGTGTAAATGCTATACTTCAGAAGTTATTTGAATAGTTTCGCTAGATGCACATCAGAGTTGCTCCATTCATCCATTCAAATTCATTCTTCATTATATAACTATATCATATAGCTAATTAGAGAATTGCAGAGATCGTGATCCGTGGAAAGAAACTGATTTGAAGAATATTCTCAATGATTACTCATCATTTCCATCCAACTGTACAACAGTTCATATATCCAAGTCGTTAGAGTATTATCCAGTTGTAAGCTTAACACCCATCATCATCATTATTAAAAATCATTTATATTTTAAGCATTTAATAATAATAGCTAATCCGACAACGAATTTCGTTCGATGTATTCCAAATATGATAGGAATGATAGCTAATAATGAGAAATACTTCGATGTAAGCTATCAAAATCAATCAATAATTCAAAAGTATTATTTATTATTATAATTGGCAGATTGAACCAGTACGATCACTGCGAGCAACGGATAATCCACGTGCTCAACTTATACGAGTACTATTTCATTCTGCTTATCAAGTATTATAAGAATACATAATTAACTTTAATATATTTATTACTTTTAGTTCTTTCATTTTCTAACTGAAGGACCAACAACTGTATTATCGTTATTCATACGTAGTAGAAGCAGTCTATGGAAGCATTTACAAGAAGATGAAAAGCGTATTATACGCAAAAGGTTTCAATCAATATTCATTTACTTATTCATTATTTTACTTTAAGAAAAACATTCAAATCAGCTATTCTTAATCGTGAATCGTCAACGGTTTTGATGGATTCTGTCCCAGAAGATGTTATTGTTGTTGGATCGAAAGATATCATGACGTCACAGCATGTTACATTACCTGCTCGTGATGGTTTGTTTGTTAAATTGATATTCACCAATTCTTCTAATGATGTTATCACATATATTTATAGTGACAAATCTTTTTTCAGTTCCTCCTAATCCTCATCGGATTGGATGGTGTGTTGTACCGCAAATTGAGCTCGTTGGACGAGCTGAGAGGCTTTTACGAGCAACTTCAGCTGAAATGTTTTTGACGCTTGTAGCAGGAACAATTCGAGCTTATTGTAGAGATCAGGTGACAAAGTTGATTCGAGATAAAAGGAATATCCAGAGCAATTCAGGGAATTTCGCATCCACCAGATCTTGGTGTTGTTATGCCGGTATGGATGAAAAAAGAGAATGAAGAAGTATGTCGGTATAACTGTAATACGATTCCATTCCCTCTTATGCTGCCTACAGGCGTAGAAGGTAGGAAACTTGTAGATGGGTTTGAAGAGCAGAGTTCATAACGAAAGAATTCTAGGTGCAATACCACGTCTATGGTCAATTCAGAAGAGACTTTATGAAAATCTTGGTGGACATTTGCCATCAACGATTCAATCATCTATGTATATAGGTATAATTGTGAATTATTTAAATATTTATAATAATATTAAAGCTGCATCATGTCTTCCATCATCTGTAGCTACAGCCATCTTAAAGCCATTATTCTCTTCACACTCAATCTACTTTGCATTTTATCGAACATCTCATGTGAGTTTAGAATAAAAATTAAAATATTCTAATGAATAATTCTTTCAGATAGGAAAAGCATTAGAACAAATTTTATTATTTCCATCATTAAGTGATAATATAAAAGCATCATTTATCTTCATCCAATGTGGATATGAGACTAGACTGTGCGTCAGCTTGTGTAAACGTACATTCCCTGACGTGAATGCCGTTTTGAGGACATTCGAGGTAATTAATTATTATATAATTGTGCTAATTATATATATATAATTAAGAAAGAGACAAATAATCTATTGGATCATTTGTCTGGTAAAATACTATCTTTACCACAAACAACCATATTGCCTGGATCGCGTTTTGGTAACTTCGATGAAGACGGAGAAATGTTTGGTTCATCATATCTTCGACAAAAGGTTTTTATTTATATTTCTATAAATAATTGATGTTCTAATGCAAAATACAGAAACGTTCTTCTTACAGACAGCGCAAATGCAAATTGAAGAAGAATGCGAAGATGAGCAATATACATTAGAAGAATTACATGAGCTTCTGGCAACGGTTCAGAAGGAATTAGATGGCATGAGAGCTAATCCTCAGGTTCAATTTTGATTTTTTTCCTCCTCATTCATGATGTTTCTTCTCATTTCAGGGAAATCGAAATGACTACATTAAGAAGTTGGATGAATTGGAACAACGAATGCAACGATTCCATCAAATTATCACAACACGTCTAGGTGAAGAAAATATTTTGGACCAACCCATAGATGGAGATGAAGTCGTTGATAATATTCTAGCTCCGTATAAGTCAGGACCAGGTATATCCTTCTACTTAACATACAATGTTTGTATTTATTCTATTCTACTACAGATCAATCACAAAATCGTCGATTCAGTCGAGAATTTCAACGGACAGAGGAACAAAATATGCGGAAATCGTCAAGATCTTCACTTTAACGTATTCTCGACCTCATCCTATCTGTCTTTACATGTATTATACGGGTTTATAATATAATATTTTATCTTTTATACACATATGTTTTCTATAAAGAGTTTTATTTGTTTTATAGCATCTATTTCAAAAGAGGAAAAAACCTCTCAAACGCAAATTCTAAAATGGTTTTATGGGGCCAATTCAACTAAACCAAAAGACCCAAACTTCTTGATATTGATGGCAAAGCCTTCATTGGACATTGAGCGCTGTCCATTGCGAAACGTTGGAGAGATAAGCTGAGTCGTCCCTTCTCTCACAACTATATTGAGAAACATAAGCTTATGAAGTTTCATCTATTATACGAAATTGTCATAAATTCCTTATAAACATATCGTTTGTTCAAAGATTTTCGTTTATTTTTCTCACTTGAGGTGAAAGAAGCAAATGGTGAGAATAGACAAGCTTAAATCGAAATGATTCATCTTCAAATTGCTTTTTCTGTTGAAAAAGAAAAAAAAAGAATTTAAAACAATTATCTTGGAAGCGGATAGCCTTTTATGAAGCATATCCACCCTCTGCATATCTTTGGAAATAGCCTGTTCCACTTCTTTCTCTTTCATGAATGTTTTTTTTTCTATAAAAATAGTACTCCTCCCAGTCCTCTTTTCACCTTTGTAACGACATCACAATGCTTCCAGATGTATGCAAAACATCTGGAAGTTGATGATTTCTCTTTAATTATTGCTCATTATACCTTTTAATATGTTAAACAGGAAGCAAATGCGTTAGCAACTTCAATCTTCTCCACAATCCCGTCTTGATTTATCTCTTTGACCTGGAAGATTGGAATTTTTTCTTTTCTTTTTCTTCATTAGTCCACTCTGCTATGGAATGAATAAGTGTGAGGGTTCAAAAAACTCTTTTTTTTTCATTCACAAAAAAGAATTATTACAATGGTCTTTCTCTAGTTTTTCAGGAGCAAATGATAGTGAGGAGAGAGATGTCTTAACTATGAAAGTTGCTTGTTCGTCAGAGATGGACATCCATTTGACTGACAACTATTTCTTTCTTTTTTTTACTTTGTCCACTCGAGCGAAAGCATGTTTTTTGTAATAAAGACAACAAACTTGTGTGGGGTTCTGTTTTGAACCCAAAATAGACGGCAAAACTGCTCTCTTGCACTCCATGATTCATCGTTTTCCTTATACATCTTATCAATCTTAATCATCACGCTGTATTTCAACCTACTCGCTTACTCAATCCTTTTAAGGTTTACATACTTCATGGTTTTATAATACTTCCTTATGCTTGTCTCACTTCTCATTTGTACTTCATTGCTAATAGGAACATACTCTATAGATGAGGTAAGCAGTCCTTTCTTACACTTCTCAAACGCATTTTTCGTTCAATGGCAATAAAATTATTTTTTTTATTAAATTAAAATATTTTTTTTGTATTTTATGAAGAAAAGTGATTGTCATGGGAAAGATTTTGAACAAAAGCCAGAACGAACAATCTTCGAACAGATTCCACGTCTGCTCACCATTCTCCAAAAACATAAATCTTTTCTTCTTTTGTGACAAGAGCAGCAGACGGAAAGTTCTTATGAGCTCTCAACAGCCAAAGTTATTGACCTACACGATCTAAGAAATGATTTGATGGAATAATTGAAGAATATGAGTTTCAGAATGAATTTTTAATGAAATTCGGATATTTACCAAGTCTTCCCAATGCATTACTATCAGCAGATGCGAAAGATTTGGCTATTCGCAAATTTCAAGTAAAAAATAATTTCTCCGATCAACCTTAAACTCTATATATTAAGAAGTCTTATGGTCTACCAATAACTGGTCACATTGATGAACGGACTGTGAGTGCAATGAATGAACCAAGATGCTCTCTTCCAGATTTTGATAATGGGTATATGATCTGCACAGTTAACTTAATATAGAAAGATAGAGGGAAAGAGAGAGGGTGAGCTGACTGCAATCAATCGATAATACGGTTGCTACATGATAGGCAATACTTTTTTTTCATTTAAGCGAAGCGCATCATAGTAAGCGGTTGTACTCGAGAAAAAAAAGTTTCTTTTTTCTCAATTCACTCTTTGCAGAAAAAGAAGAAAGCGTGGAATCAATTCAATTGGTTTCCGAAATCATACAATTACTTATGGGTACGTTTCTTTTCTGTCATATTTGTAGAAAACGAAGAATGAGATAATGCGTTGAACGTAGACCTTTTAGAAAGTTATAGTCACTATATGAACACATCCATTACTAAGCGCTCAGTTTTTTTTTTGAATCTTTACGTCCACTAACCAACAGCTGTAGTTCGAATACGAAATGGACCCTTCTTCATTTCATCGGCTATTGTCAGCTGTTTTTAAATTTTGACTTCTTCTCTGTTTTGGGAAAGTTAAATTAGAAACCTCAGTGCTACAAACAGGGAATGTGTGAAGTGTAGCACGAGAAGGAATGTTTCAAGCTTTAAGCACTCAAGAGTAATCACTTAGTTGACTTGTCTTCAATTATTAATAGCGCTTCGTCTTTCTATATGGGGTGCAGCTTGAACTCTTTGCAAAGAACTTTCAATTTTGGTGTTTTCATGAATCTTGGCGGTTAGGGCGGAGTTTGGGTTGACCGTAATGCAAAGGGTATATAAGCTGTAATACATCTGTGAACCATTTACCAGAAGGAATCTTTCACTCACGTCTGTCTGTTTTCTATGCTGCCTACATTTTGCTTTCTGTGCTGGCCATCCAATCTCTTCTTATCCTTCTCTACATGTTCAGTAGATAGCACCGCCCAAAGACAAGTCACAACTGTTGCTAGTCACAGCAGTGGACGGCTGTTTTGGCAGTTACCTCCTCGAATCGCTAACTTCTAGAACTCACTTCTATTTTATTCCACGAAGTACCCTATATCGAAGTACTTAGATTTGATTCTATGTATTTGAATATATATTCATATTGATTCGATTTCCGAACATCTCGTTCAGTCGATCACTAAATTTGGGAGATGTCATCTCCGCTCACTCTGGCGGTTGTTAGTGTAATTAGCCATCACAACCTCCTAGAGTAAGTAGAGCTGATCATCTTGAGTATGTATGTGTGACGAGATCTCATCAGAGAAGTTTGCAGTAGATGTTTCAATAGTTTATGATGTTCAGAAATGTATGGAATTTTTCTCAGCTCATAACAAAAGAAATCTGTTGTAAATTCAGAAACAGTTTGTAAAACAGCCAGATGTCGTTCCAAGAATCACATTGATTCTCATAAAATTACTAGTAATTGCTTATACTTCACTTATGTGTAAAGGGATTTGTTTATAGCTAAGAAAATTTTTATCTATTTCGTTCGCATCTATCCACTCTGTCTCTGCTTTTTCATTCAATGGTTGTAATAATCGAAAGAATGGTTTACAACAAACTTTGAGTGTACGTGTTGGTGGTCTGCAAGGTCTGGGATCTGTGTACCCAAAAATATGGCTTCTAAATGGTTGTATAAAAAAACGGTGAAGAGTTTCATTCCACATAATTGATGTTGATTGGCTGTAATTCCGGAGAGATGGAGAGAAGAGAGTCAGTGCTAAAACTAGTTCCTCAGATTGTAAACAACATTCTGTATATCAAATATGGTTTTGTTGCAGAGTAGGAAGATGGAGTCGTCATTTGCATCCACAGCATGTTGAAGAAACTCTAAGGAGAGCTCTCGATGTATGGGAAAAAGAAGCGGACGTCAAATTTGTCAAAGAGCAGAATCCAATCATCTCTGTGAATTTTGGGGTATCAGTCGTTTATATTCAAAATGAAAAGAGTTTCTCTGCAGGTTCGGGATCATAGCTGTCCTTTCTTGTTTGACCCTACTGTTTTGGCCCATGCTTTTATGCCAACTGACCCTATAACTGATTTGACAGGCGACGTTCATTTTAATGATGAGTTTACATGGACTACTTCTGAATACAGTAGTCATGAAGGTGCTCGTGAACAATTAACAGTTTCACTGAAAGTTCATATCTATAGGAATATCTTTGCTTTCCGTAGCTACTCATGAAATTGGTCATGCCATCGGCTTGACGCATAATATGGATGAAGCCGACAGTATCATGTCACCTCGAGATCAACATAGGAAAACCAGAATTACAGAAAGAGATCGTTACTATCTTCTAGCATTATATGGTATAGACGTAAAAAATATTGTATAATACGTTCTCCACGGTCAGGAAGAGCGAAAGGGTCACCAGAAGTAGATACTGCTCGTCCCACTTATTCACCAGGAACAGAGCGCGAGCGGAATCACTATCACACTGACACCATAAAGCCCAACCCATGTACTTCGAAAATTGATGGCATCGGAACAATGCGTGGAAACTTTTTTGTCTTCAAGGTTACTCTAGATGTTAAAGCTCATGTTTATCTTCAATATAGGATGAATGGATGTGGGTTTTCGCATATGATGGTACACTGTTTCGTGAGCCCGAGTTAATAGCTACCGCTATTCCTAACATGCCCTATCCTGTGGACTCTGTTCTAGAAGTCGATGATGACTTATGGTGTTTCATTGGTAAGGCGATCCGGAAAATTAATAAACATTATTCTGGTTAAGGCACGGAAGTTTACGTTATTCATATGACTCAACAGGGTCTACGAGTTAAACATGCTCCTTATCGTCTGGCAGATTTTGGTATCGACTCCAGTGTCAAACATATAGATGTGGCTTATGAATGGTTTTATGAACCGTAAATTATTTTTGAATGTTTTTACTCATATCGAAATGTTCAGTTATCGATGGTGTTATATATGGAGTGGCTCACAATACTGGAAGATTGATATACGAGCAAGACGAGTAGAAGCTACCTATCCACGAGAAATCAACAAGGGATGGAGAAGTGTTCCGTTGCGCTCATCTGCCGGTTTCACATACGATGGAGGTTTGGAATATTTCTCACACCTTATCTGAACAATCTGATTTAGAGCTTCACTTTATCCAAGAAGGAATGGTTTATAGAATGAACTCCTCCGATTTTCGTCTGCCAGTGGCCACTGGATATCCTATTCCGACCTCAAATTTCTTCAAGAGTTGTCCCAAATCAAAAGCGAATTACATTTCCAATGCATCCCTCCGTTTTTTCAATTTCAAAATGATTTTAATCGAAGTATTTCTGGTCATACTTATCATTACGGGTTTCTGATTCGGTGTCTTCTATCCCAACGATCAAGAATTTCATCTCATTTCTTGTGGACGGTTGTGTTTAACTTTTTTTCTTCGATTGTATGCTCATCTGTGTTATTAATTATATTGATTACAAGTTGTTTACTTCTTTTCAATCATGGTTTACGAAAAAAAATTGACGACCTTTGGCTCACGTTGGGGAAGAAACAACATGCTGTTGTGAGTTCAGCACAACACTCAACTAAAATGGAGGGAACACAACCAATCAGTTTGATTAAGCAAACGACGTTTTCTACACATGCAATTTATCGATTTCACATTTGAGTTACAGTTGGCAGCGTAGTTCAAATTTTGGAAGGTCAGTCCCATACTGTTGGTAACAATTCATTCCTACTGTTGCATTCTAAATGAGTGATCACATTTGATTTTTTTGTTATTCTTGCATATTACGAATGTTTATTTTTTATCTTTCTCCATACATGTCCTCAATCTCCCTAAAATGGTCGCATGTGAATTTCAAAAAACTGTTTTTCGTTAACAAGTTCGCGCTGCCAAGTTTGATGTGCAGGCAACAAGTGCGCGCGGCTCACGCAAGCGTTCAACAAACGCGCCAATTACCATAGCTTCAGTATAATTTTTTTCGGATGAATATTAAATGAACGGTTGTATTTATTTTAAAAACAGAGATCGGTTTTATCAGTTTTGAAATGAAAGTTAAAGCTCGCAAGTCAATGTATTTTATTAAAGGAAACAGGAAAGATAAAAGTAAAATTTTAATTTTAGGGAATGCCTCGCGACGCGACTAGAATCTACGTCGGAAATTTACCGAGTGACGTCCGTGAGAGAGATATTGAAGATGTATTCACCAAGTACGGTAGCATAAAGTTTGTTGACATCAAAGGAGGTAGAGGTCCACTCTATGCTTTCTTAGAGTTCAATGATCCCAGGTATGTCGGATATTTTTGTATGATAATTTCACTGATTAATTCAGAGATGCCGAAGACGCGGTACGTGGAAGAAATGGGTATGATTTCGACGGTCGCCGCTTGAGAGTCGAGTTCACTCGCGGCGCAGGAAACAGAGAGAGAGGTGGTGGAAGATTCGAAGATCGTGGTGGACAATTCCGTCGTGGGGCTCACCCTTCCAAAAGAACCAAGAACAGAGTATTAATTGAGGGCCTTCCCCCTAGTGGTTCATGGCAAGACTTGAAGGTATTACCCTGCTTAATTTTCTTACTGAAGTTTTCATTCAGGATCATATGAGAGAGGCAGGTGAAGTTTGTTACGCAGATGTCTCTAAAGACGGAACTGGAGTTGTTGAATTTGCTCGCTATGAGGACGTCAAGTATGCCATTCGCAAATTGGACGATACCAAGTTCAGATCCCATGAGGTTTGTGTTTTTCTTTCTTTCTCTGTAAAAGTCTATTTGTTTAAGGGAGAAACAACATATATCAAAGTAAGAGAAGATGCAACTGGTGGCCGTCGTAGCAGATCCAGATCACCACGATACAGCCCCAGAAATTCGCGTAGTCGGAGCAGAAGCCACAGCCGCAGCCGTAGTCGTAGCCGTACTCGCAGTCGTACCCGTTCCGTTTCTCGTTCCAAGTCTCGTTCCAAATCTCCTTCTAAGTCTCGTTCACGTTCTGCTTCTCGCTCTCGTTCTGTTTCTCGATCGCGCTCTCGCTCTACATAAGCAGATGAGATGGAAAGATTGGAAGGTTACTCGTGTTATTCCCATTTAAAGTTAATCAGTTTCATGTTGAATCATTTTATATTTATTATTCATGGTAACTCACGTTGCTGTTGTTTATTGTTAGTTATTAAACAATTGCTACCTTAAAATTCAAGGGCAGAAGTTGTTTCTATCATTTAAGGATTTCGCTTTTCAACACATTGATACAGCAGCTGTGTCTCTTCATCCACTCGGCTTCTTCCTATCCTTTCATTTTGTCAAATTTGTTATCTAAACAATAAAGTCTTCTCTCCATTTTCTCTTTTTTTTTCTTTCCGAAAAAAAAACGGTTCAATGTCGTTTCGAAAATTAAAATTCACCAAAGAGCCCGTCTCATTGAAAATGCATCCCTGCTAGAATAGCTTGTACGCATTGCGTATGTTATCGGCGTTTAAATAATTTTGAATGCTTGTTTATACTTTTCAATTTCTTAATTCAGGATTTCTAAAAGTAATTAACTCCAACTGATTCTGACTGTATTAACCATTTTGAAATGTATATTAAAGAGGTAGGAAATAAGGAAAAGATTCTCTTTTAGTCGTTTCTTTACAGGTCAACATAGTTGACTTCCGAAGTTATCGCGAACAGAATGCTATAGACAGTTTTTCTCCGAGACACAACGTAATTGTTGGTAGAAATGGTTCCGGAAAATCAAATTTTTTCCTCGGTTTGTTAAGGCTTAGCTAACATTGTCCATTTCCTTATTTAAGCTATCCAGTTCGTGTTGAGTGATGAGTTTAGTCATCTGAAGGTAGAACAGAGAATGAGTATGTTACACGAAGGAACGGGTCCACGAATTAACAGTGCTAGAGTTGAAATAGTTTTCGACAACAGTGACAGGAGAATCCCTGCTGTAAACCTAGTTTCAAATTCCTTGTGAATCACGTATTTTTTAGTTGGACGCTCTAGAAGTTCGAATTACCAGACAAGTAGGAAACAAAAAAGACCAGTATTTCATCGATGGAAAAGCTGTTGCTAGAAATGAGGTTTTTCTGAAATGGAGATTCGTCACTAATTCACTATGAAGGTTGTCAATCTTATGGAATCTGCCGGATTCTCGAGATCAAATCCTTACTACATTGTAAAACAGGGTAAAATTAACGAGCTGGCTACAGCTCCAGATGCATACAGGTAAATCTCTTCGTCTTTGTTTTCGCAAGAGTTATTATTTCTTTTAAAGATTGAAACTACTTCGTGAAGTAGCCGGAACTCGTGTTTATGATGAGCGAAAAGAAGAGAGTATGAAGGTTTTGAAAGACGCACGTTAGTTCCTATTTGAAGTTCGGGAGCTTATCTTTCGTTTTAGAAATTAAAAACAAGAAGATTGATGAATTGCTCAAATACATAGATGAAAGATTGAAAACATTGGAAGAAGAAAAAGAAGATCTGAAAGAATATCAAAAATGGGATAAAATGAAAAGATCTATTGAATATACTATCAACGAGACAGAGTTGCAAGAGTCCAGGAGAAAGCTTGAAAGATTAACTGACCAGAGAGAGGAATTGAACCAAAGACAAAACAGTGTATGCCATTTTTTTAGTTTTTGAATTGCATAGCCTTTGTTTGAAGGTCAGTGCTGAGCTTATGGAAGTTCAAGCTAGAGGAATCCGTGCAGCTGCTGAACAGAGAAGATTAGAATCTCGCTTCAAAGGAATGAAGGAAGAGAAAGAAGCTATTCTCGCTGAACAAGCAACAAGATATGAAAAGAAAACAGAGCTGGAACTCTTAATTAAAGATCTTACTGAAGATGTTGATAAGTGAGTATCTTCCAAATCCTTCCGCATTTACCTCAATCATCCAGAGAGAGAACAGGAAGAACTAGAGCTGAGACTGATCTTAATCAGTTACTTGCGGAAATCACAGAAAAAGAGAGGGAAATTGAAGCAATCACTCCAAGATATCAGGTATGAATTTGTTAAAACAATCTTTTCTATTAGAATTTTCAGCAACTGGTGGAACAGGAAGCAACTTTGACATCAGACATTCGAATCGCAGAAATGAGATGTAAAGAGCTCTTCTCAAAACAGGGACACAGGTTTACTATAGACTCAATGCAATGAATGATTCCGATTTTTTCAGAGAACAGTTCCGTTCAGCGGACGAACGTGATGACTTCCTCAAAAGAGAACTTCGTCAGATTAATAGACAAATTGCTGATGTTGAAGAGCAGATCCAAGAAATCGAAAGTAGCATCAAGGAAGAGCAAGCCGAGGAAGAGGCTTTGAATGGACAAATTATGGTTTACAACTTTGAAGCTGCATTTTTTTACATCAATCTTTTAGGAAGTTGGAATTCAACTTCATGAAAATCATGATAAGCTAGACAGGCTGAGTAACGAACATGCTCAACTCAAGCTAGAATGTGACAAAGCAGTCGTCCTTCAGCTGTAAGTTCCAAAGTTTCTCATGGAATGCATAATTTGTTATTCAGAGATTCTAATCGAGCTGAAAAGGTTACTCGTGATCAGTTATCTGCCCTTCAAACAGAGATAGCTCAAATGGAGCAAACTATGAGAACAATTGTACCTCGCCCAACTATGCATGGAGTTGAAAGTGTGAAGAAAGTCGTCAAGTGGTTCAAGGATAATAATCATAACGGAAAGTATGATGCTGTAGTTGAAGGCTATTATGGTATTTTTTTGAAACAATCCATAGAACTAATCATCTATATCATTCAGGAATTCTTTTGGATTTGTTCGAATGCCAGGATACTTATTTCCAAGCTGTCGAAGTCACTGCTGGAAACAGACTTTTCTATCATGTAGTCGCCAATGACTCGTTAGTTCATGAGTTTGAAATATTCCGAATATTCTTCCCATTCAGAGTAGCCACAATGATTTTGAATCAAGTCAACAAGCTTGGGTTACCAGGAGAGTGTAACTTCTATCCTATTAACAGACTCCCCAGGATTCCCAGAAGAAATTTACAAGAAACAGTTAGTTTCTGTCTCTGGTTCAATGCTCAGTCTTACTTCTTTTAGGATGCTCGTCATATATTGGCTGTTCTGGATTATGACGATATGTTCGAAACTGTCTTCTGTTTAGTTTTTGGTAAAACTGCCATCGTTAGAAATTTGGAAATCGGCTCCAGATTGGCCAGAGGAGAAGGCTTTGATTGCGTAACCATGGAAGGAGACCAAGTAATCTATTCATTCCTGTTTGTGATTATTAAGTCTTGCAGGTTTCAAGAGGTGGTGCCCTTACAGGAGGTTATCTCGATTCAAAGAAGAATAAGCTAGAGGTTCACAATAGTGTGTTCGCTTTGGAGAAGCAGAAGAAACAGCTTCA